CTATAAATAATAATATTCTATAAATGACAAATTATTATAAAAATATCATGTTAATATTCTTTTAAATTTTTAGTTAAACATATATATTATTTAATTTTCAATTCTAATGTTTATAATTTGAATTAATTAGAATATAATTATAAATAATTTATAGTTAAGTATAATTGATCATTCTAATTAATTATTAATTACTTAATGATTATATTAATTATTTTGTCCAATTATATAATTATTAATTTAAAAATAAAATTAATTTTACAGAATAAAGTTAATAAATAAATTTTTTAAAACTACAAAGAACCTAATTAAAAAATAAGTGAAACTGTAAGGACCTAATAAAAAGAAAAAAAATAAAGAGGCCTAATTAAAAACACGTGAAGTAAAAAGATATAATAAAAAAGAAAAATTTTATAAGGACCTGATTAAAAATCAGATGAAATCATAAGGACCTAGATATTAATTATCCCGTTTAATTTTTTAAAATTAATTTCATAATTACGTTTATAATAATTTATTTAAATCATTATTTTCCAAGGCTTCATGTTCATGCTCCATTGGAACAAAAAAAAAAAAACAAGCACTCATTTTGTCAGAAAGAAGCCCCACAACAACTAGAAAAAAAGTTCGCTTCGGACGCTTAAAACAGGAACTTGATATGTAGGAACGGCCGATGTTAAAAGTCCCTTCTATTTACACTGATTGCGACACCAGTATAAAGATGTTACTTTTTTAAAACTGATTGTTCTTCCAATTGATGTAAGTGTTGGAAAATTTATTAAAACAAATGGTCTACTTCTTAGATAAGCTATATTTGTTATAGCAGGTCTAGGAAATAGACCTTTTTAAAATTAATTATTTTTTTTATATTAGCTAGTTATTTTAATGGCATTTGCTTTTTTAAAGTTTATTTCTTTTATTTGATTGTTTTATTTCGCCACTTCCAAATATGTTAATTGATTTTCTAGTGTTGGATTTATAGGGTGTTTGGATGGAAACCAAATCATGATTTCAAAAGTATTTTTACGATTTACGAAATAAATATGTAGAGGAGTTTGTCTCGTTTTGCAAAAAAGTGCTTCTGAGAAGGACTTTTGAAGATTGCTAAACACCTCCGAATCGATGTAATTTAACCTAACGCTTGCTCATTTTTACAAAATGAGCGAAGTCGAATCTCGCAGCTCTTGGGTTCGGCGCTATTGCTCAATAATAAATAGGCATTTTGATCATTAGTGTTAAACTGGAACATACAAAATGAGTACAAGCTATCGTTCAAACTCGCAAAAGGAAAAACTCTTATTTAATGAAATAATTACAAAACAAACTTAATTTTGAATTGGCAAACAACATTTCGTATGATTGATTATGACTGAGTGGAGCAAGTTTTGGTTTCCAAGAAACCAAACTAAAGGTCTTGGTTTCTTTTACAATCAAAACCCACCCTACTCAGTCATAATCAACCGTACAGTATATAGGTTATTGCAAATTCAAAAATTAAGTCCATTAGGAAATTGATTTCTTTAAACAAGTCTTCCTCTTTGCTGCTCCAACCAATATGTTAGCAACATCTAAATGTTCCAATTTAATTCCAGAAAGATCTAAATGCCTAAAATATATTTGAAAAATGAAACTAAACTGAATGAATGAAAATGCTATTTTGGTGGAGGGTTAGAAGGAAAATTAAAATGTTCAACAAAGAAAATGAAATAAATAGCAAAAAAATCAATAAAACAAAAATGAGAGATTCTTTTCAAATATGATAAAAGGGACAATTCAGGATTCTCATGGAGTTAGCTTTTCTAGTCTAAATCAGTTAATTAGACCAAAGAGAAGTGATGAGAGATTGGAATCAACAAGTTTAATTACTTACTTGAACATGAAAAACATTCAAATTCAATAGCATTTAGACCATTAGGTATAAGGCCAATTAATTAAACCCATTAAAGCTAATAACAATTTGGTCAAATTAATTATGAAAATTATGTTTAGAATTATCTAATTAAACAATAAGACAATTCACCAACTTAGTTGAACAATCAAGAGGAAAAGAAACCCAAATTTGTGATTTAAACCACATTGACAATTAAATCAACAATGAGAACTCAATTATAAATTTAATTAACAACTAAAATGTAGCAAGTGCCAAGCACAAAATAAGTCCAAATATCAATCCAATTCAAAAATAAAAATATTGACAATCAAGAACTAAATTATGTCAAAGAAATATAACTCAAAATTATCTAAAACTAAATAATTTCAACCTCTTGAATTAAAAAGATAGATGGAATCATTCTCTTATGATAATCCAAGGCTCTAGCTTCCTCTATACTTCTCCCAAATTGTTTCCTAGGCAAACCCAAGCCCCCATGGAAATTCTTCTAGGTCAAAGCTCCTCTAATGCCACGGCTATAAGAGAATTTGGTGAAAATGGAAATTAATTGAATGGATGGTGGTGGTGGAATATGGTGAGAGCGGGGATGTGATTATTGAAGGGAGAAAGGGACGAAGATGGTGAATATGCGGCTGTGGGTGGCGAATGGTCGCCCCATAATATTAAGAGAGCATCGTTTTATACAAGCAAAAGAGAATTTTTAAGTATAAGATTTAAGCTCATTATTTGAACTTAGCAATTTGAATGTCCTCAAGCTTTAAGAAATTATCCTACACCATTGAATTTCCTATTTTACTCATCCTTAACCTATAATAATTAAAATGATATTATATTCAAATATAATATAATCCATATCAAAATTAAATATTAGATATGTACAAAAAATAAGATAAAAAATTGCAAAACTTTTCAAAGATCTACTTTCCAAAAATATGATAGTTGATTTTGAAGAAATAGGAAATATTAGTTCCAAACCAAAAATTGGAAACTACAAAATATCCGTATTTTTACCCAAAAACCCAATTTTTATGAAAATTTTCAAAATCAATTAATTAATCTAATAATGCATAAAACATTCATTTGAGCTCAAGATATTGTTTAAATTCAAGGTTAATGTTGGATAAAATATTTAAAAAATTAAAACTTACCAATAATGCAAGTTAACAACCAGCTAGTATTTTAGAATACTAAATCAGTGAACAAAAAATAGTAATGAACATAAAAAGAAGATGCCAACAATAAACAACAAATCTAGTTAAACTAAAAGCTATTTCCAATTTCTAAAACCATGCTTCTAACCTTAAAGCAAGATAACATTATATTAATTAGAAAAGGTCAGCAAGAAACACACACATAGCAACATTACGGCTTAGAGATAAGCTTTAAGAACTAAGGAACGAGTCACCTAAGCTGAGGGAATGCATCATGTGGTTGACGATGAAAACCCCTCGACGTCAATGGCAACGATAAAGATCTTGTATAGACAGACCACGGTTATTAGGTCTCATCACAAGTAGCACAAGAAAGAAATTAAAAAAGTAACGATGAACATATCTAATTAGTCTTGGTCTTATTCATTTCATGAAAAATAACAGTTTAAGTGATGGAGTCATTGACCTTAAAAATATGGTAAAAAATTTTCAATTGTCAAAACATGCAGCAAAGTCTGCATTTCAATGGGTATACTGCAAAGGGACGTCTCTTTATGATGACAAAGCGGAGCAGAAAGTGTTTATTTCCATTAAATGGTCCTAATTTAATATCTATTTTATTTTTTTGACTATTGACATTTTATATGATTTCAAAACTTCACTTTCATAGGGCAGAACTTAACAATATTATGCATTCCCATATACTTTTTGCAGGTGATGGCGTGTTGGGTGAGGAAGTTCAAAGTCAAAACTCTTTTCTTGGGGCGATGTGAAATAGTCTGCAGAAAATTTGTCCATAGGTACTTTGTCATTGTTGGGTAATTTCACTACAAAATTTAATTCCGTATTAGTCACTAACGATTCGTAGTGATTAAGTCATTTTATGGTCTTGATTGGAATTTGCAGATTTGAAGCTATTTTTTTCCCGTCTTTCTAGCTTTGTTTTATATTATTTCTCGTTCCTCTAATCAAACACACCCCAAATCCTAAGGGCCCAACCTATTGATGACGGCCCAACAGGACCCCATATTTCATTTTTATGAAGCAAAGTTAGGGTTGGTTTGGAATCACAATTGGAGCATTCAAAAAAAACTTTTCATATAAGTTACAAAATACGAAGTAAGTATATAAAGTGATTTTTATCTTGGTTTATATAAAAGTTCTTATAATTACCACTCTAGTCCTAAATGCAAGTCATTTATAGGGAGATATGTTGGCCCTAAATGTAAATGTAAGTTTTTTATAATATATTTAATGCTTGTTTTCTAATTTTATTCTTATTGAAAAGAGAGAAAGAATGGAGAGATACTCGATTAATTTATAAATGTAGAAAGAGAGAGAGAAAACTTTAATAAAGATAAAGCTAAAAATTATTTCAATTTAATGCATTTCTTGATAGGTGTTACAAGTGCCCTATATTAAACATTAGAGTAGTATTTATCGAGAGCGTCAAGCCCTTTTCCTGCTACTAAAAAGAAGCCTTTTTTGAACTTGTATGAACAAAGTTTTTTTTTTTTTTAAAACTAAAGCATAGGTATAAAGCAATCCTATTCAAAGCACTGTCAGGTACTAAGTATGGAGATCTCTCCTAGTGAGGATTTGAATTTTGGTTCGTTACGTTATGAGAGACTAGTTCTTTCTGGTAGATTTAACTTCTATTGGTTAGGAACAGAGCTTTTGAACAGCCTAATTATAAAAGAGGGCTAAGGCCTCAAAACGTTCACCAAGTTTTTGGGCCAAGAACAAAAACACCATCATTGACCAGTGGACGAAAATAGACAAAGAAATAAATAACGAGATCAAATCGGGTTTTTTTTTTTTTTATGTTTTTGCTTGAACGAGATCAAAACAAATGTTTTGTCCTAAACCCAAAAACTTTTTCTGTTGGACCAGACCCAGGCCCAGTTATGAGTAAAGTGCCCCCTATAAAGAAAACCTAATTCTGATTTTTAGGGTTTTAGACTGAAGGAGCTGTGGCGATTTGCCTGTTACTTCTCTGAGCCGGGAGCAGCCGCATCTGTCCCTTGAATCTCAGCTTCCAAGATGGTGCGTTCTTTATCGTGTTATCCTCTTCCTGTCTTCGCCCATTTCCCTTTGTGTGTTCTCTAAATATTTGTATCTTCAAATTCTCAGTTTTGTTCGATGAGCCGAAATCTATTGGTTTTTATTGATGGTTTTGGCTGCTCTTAATGAACTTTTAGACTTCGAATCTTCTCCTTCTTTGATTTTACCTTGATTTTGTCTCAAAATCTAGTCCGTATTCTCTTTTTTTTTCCGGTAGTCTCTGGTGGCGAACGAGGATTTCCAGCACATTCTTCGTGTTCTGAACACTAACGTCGATGGGAAGCAGAGGATTATGTTCGCTCTGACCTCTATCAAAGGTATTGGCAGGCGATTCGCCAACATTTGCTGCAAGAAGGCTGATATTGACATGAACAAGAGGTTTGTTTGCGTTGACTATCACATCTCTGATCTGTGTTTAGATTCTATCAGATAGTTTGATGACAGTGCTACGGGTGACTGACTTAGGGTTTGTTTCTTCTGCTTTTTGATGTTTTGATTTTTTATGCTTTATTGAAAGGAAATTAAGCCTAGAAAGTTTGGTTATTTTACTATCAGGGCTGGAGAGTTGAGTGCTGCCGAGTTAGATAATCTTATGACCGTGGTTGCGAACCCTAGGCAGTTCAAGATTCCAGACTGGTTTTTGAACAGGAAGAAGGACTACAAGGATGGCAAGTATTCTCAGGTTGTATCAAATGCTTTGGATATGAAGTTGAGAGATGACTTGGAAAGGCTGAAGAAAATCAGGTGAATAACACTTGGATTGTAGCGTTTTTCATCCATGGTTCAACTGATATTCAACTTTTTCTGTTAAATCTGTGTCCTCTGAGCATGTGTTATTTCTATCTTAATGCTCTTAATCATGTCATCTGCATGTTCTTAAGCGTGAATAGACTCAAATCTAGCTCCAAAGAGGAGTTGACATGCGCAGTGTTTGTAAGCATCTTGTTTGAGTGATCGATTCTCATTCTTCCAATCTCTATAAAGTTCAAATCTGTTGAATAGGCTCAAGACACACTAAACTACTGAATGCGAAATATATAGGAAAACATTGTCCCCTTATCTGCGTTTTATTTTTATCATTGTCCTTATCTAAAGTAAAAATGAAGGTAGATTTTCATAGTGACTCCTATCCGACTTTTTTGTTTTGGTGGGAGCATTATGTATATCGAAGAAGAGATCGCCGTTGTATTGTTTCACTCTATTCAAACTCTTTACCATTTCTGTTTTATGCGAAGATCTGAAGCTATATGTACCATTTTGAGTTTGATTTCTTTATTTCCGCCCATAACCCTCTTGAAACGTTCTTTCAATTTCCTTGGCCAGAAGAACTATCTATTGATCCTTGATTTTGTACTGGGTTGTTAACTATATTATGGCTAGTGAAGCGTACGGATGAAATCTAACATTTGAAACCTTGTAAAATGCAGGAACCACCGTGGTTTGAGGCACTACTGGGGTCTTAGAGTTCGTGGTCAGCACACCAAGACTACTGGACGTAGGGGCAAGACTGTTGGTGTCTCTAAGAAGCGTTGAGCTCTTGCTTTAGTGATTTACTTTATTTTAAAGAATTAGATATGTGGTCGGATAATCAAGTAATTTTTGTTTTGGAAATGCAGTTGAATTTTGTTTATGTTTGAACTTTGTTACTACTAGCCATTTGATATGATCCTTATGAAGCTTTTGGTTGTGCTTGGAATACAATTTGGTGTCTAAACAGCCATTTCTACGGTGTTCCATCTTCAAAGCTATTAACTTTTATATTTAAGAATTGATGGCTATTTTCTTGATGACCTTGAATTTGTTAAATAATTGATATGCGCCTTCGTCCTAAATCCTAATTCATTTTTGTCTCGTGTTTATTAATTTTCTTCAAGCCAATTCATTTAGTTTGTTAGCTGATATATAATTATGTTAGGATGAGTAGATCACTTACGTTATAATTATATAATTTATTTTTTTAAATCTATATTCCCACATTATGGAAGTAGTAGAAATGCGTACAAAAACCCAATAAAAAGACGCCATAATTAGATAAGACCCATTATAGGCGACAGGAAATCTGTACCCGCCAATTGCTTGTGCTTAATCTATTGAGGTTCTTTACAAATTAGAGTGGAACTTCATGTCAGAGTCATTAAGAGTGTTTTTAGACGGAGCATTTGGTTGTTGGGGTTAAAAATTTTTATGTAATTATGACATTTGCATGCTATTTACATCTTATTAACGTCACAAAACATTTTGTTGATTGGGTTAAGATACAAATTTATCTCGCACAAATTCTTCCTATTTGGCAATGGTCAACGTTAGTTTTTAGCTGAAGAGGATGCTGTTGTTGTAATTTTAAATATTTGGGGCTAAAATTGTACCCAAAAATATTTTTAGGTGAAAAAATTTTGAGGTAAATTTGGAACCTTAATCCTTTATTAATTTGTAGCATGTATCATATGAATGCATCCTAGGGCTGATTGCTTTTCTCCCAACTGATGATTAGAATTGAATGGATCTGCATTGTTTGAAGTGGTTCAGGCGACGATAAGTGATTCATTCAGTAAAATCAAGACCATGCCTTTTTGCGGTGAATGGAAATTGTGAAGTAATAATCGACTGATATATTGCCAATAATAAGTGGAGGTTTGAATCGAAATTTTGATTTTCTTTTTCTTCAGTAGTCACTTTACTAAATTTTTATGTCGTAATCATAAATCAAACCATTAAGGACGAAACTAGTTTTAAGTACGCAAAATTTATGGATAAGTAGTGTTTAGAAATAATTTATAAATTGCCCTAAACTCAACAAAAGAATCACAAAAAATTAGACGTTATTAGGGAGAATTACACAAAAAGAAGGTTGAACTTACTAAATCTCGAATCAGGTTTAGTAACAATATTTTAATAGGTTGTCACAGTATTGAATTTACAAATAACAATATATTTGTGGTTGATATTTAGTAATTTCAAACTTCTTTTTGAAGAATCCTCTCTAAAACATATATGAGAGGCATAATTTATTTTTTTAATCTTAATACTACTTCTGGTTCTTAATATGAGACCCTCTTTGACTTTTATTTTGGTCTTAAATAGAAGACCTCAATCTACTTTGTCTCTCATATTTATATATTTTTTTTCAAAGTAACCCTTCTAACAATAATAGTTCTTGTCAATACACTTGATTAGTAAGGATATTTTAAGGAAGATAACACTTATTTAGGATAAATAACTAATTCAACTTACTTTTTTAATCTCTTTAAATTAGTCAATTAACTCTTATAATTAGGATCAGTAGTGTTATCCATTACATGAAGAGGCGTGTCTATCTCTTAAAATCAAGAGGACATGGAATCGATAGATTTTTTTTTTAAAACAAATTTTCTATTTCTAACTACATCAAATAACGTTGGGAATTGTAGTTCCTCTCATCATCCTATGATATTCTTTTAGAGCTTCTCCAACCAATGTTCATAAAAAATCACAAATTTATGTGCCCACGATTGAAGAACACTACACATTAGATGGTTTATTAAATATTTGATAAATTCTGGTAATTGCATAACTTGATCTTTCTGCATTGGATAGACAAGAATTTGAATTAACGTTGAAGAACTACAATCATGTCAGTCAATCCAGGGTTTCCACATACGTATCACAGATCTCTGCAGAAGTTTGGGTATCCAAACTTCATGCGTTCTGAAGAACGTACAAGCAAATAGAAATGGAAGCTTTAGCAAAGCACCATTGCCTACAACACAAGATCCTGATACTCTGGCTCAACTTGAAACGAACATATTTCTTCAATTTAGGAAGCCGTTGTCCTGCTCCCGAAACTGACCTACCACACACCGAACAACTTTAGAATAATCGAAGAGATATTTCTTGAATCTTATAGTTCGAGAGCATATTGCAAAAGGCATATTTCATATCTCAGAAGTATATGTTTCCTGTCCTAGTGGTCTTGTGTCCTAATTTATTTTCTGATTCTGCTCCGGCTTTAGCCTGCTTGATGTGCATTTCCCATTTGGCTTGAATAAATTTCACCTTCTTTATGTTTCCAGCCACTTGGGCACCTAGAGGTCTCAGGTCTCGACATCTTTCCTTCTGCAACCACAAGTCCGAAATACGATGATAGCATGTTGGTACTATGTTATAATGGTACCAATTACGTTGTCAGAGAAACAACCCCGAGAAGCATCCCTTTGAAAACCATGTTCTAATTTTGATGTCTCAAGTCGCTCTATATACTTCATTGAACTTGGATTGGACGTGCAAACATGGCCATTTTCTGTGACAAGTTCAGAATAGCCTCATGCTTATTTGCTAGCTCCATTAAAACCTTGATTCTCTTGAAAGAAACGTTGCTTGGCTTCTGACCTTTCTCAATCATCTCCAAGAAACATTTCTCCGCTTCCATTAACTTGCCCATGTCACAGAGCAAGTCAAATAGTACATCAGAAACCAAAGTATAGGACCCAAAACCCCTTTCCATCATGTCGCTCCATAGGTGCAGTGCCATCTCAACCTTTTCCTGCTTCCTAAACAACCTTATCAAGAACATGCAAGATTGTGTGTTTGGCAAGCATCCAGTTCCGATCATCGTTCTGTACAGATTCCAGGAACTCTGCAAATCATTTGACCAGTAATAAACCCTAAAGAATAAATTGTAAGTAGTTGCATTTGGACTTAGACCTTCTTTCACCATGTCATCCATCAAGCTGTGAGCATCACGCAGCCTCTTTGCAATGCAAAAATTCCTTATGGCTGCATTATATGCCGCAACATCAGGATAACACCCATACTCCTTCATCTCTTTTAAAACATCTCTAGCTTTATCTGGCTGAGCTATCAAGCCCAAGCCCCCGATGATAGAAGTATATGTGATTACATCAGGTAGTATATCCTTATCTCGCATTTCATCAACCATCTTATAGGCCTTCTCCATTTCCTTCCCTTTACAGTAGACATCAACCAAACAATTATATGATACAATATCAGGTTCTACCCCCATTGCTCTCATTTCCTTAAAGAATCCCTCAGCTTCCTCTGTGGATTTCCACCCTGACAAAAGTATATTAAAGGTTTGCAAGTTTGGCCGGAAATCATACTTTAAACCATGATAAACATTTCTGGCATCCTTCATACTCTTCTCTTGGCACAAGGTTCTCAACAAAGAATTGAAACAAGTCGTATCGAATTCAGGAACAAACTTTCTAAACCTCCTAAATGATTCCACGGTCTCCCTCACTGAGCACACCTTAGCTATTCTAGCTAAGACAACCATAAGGGTGCGAGGGGTTATTATGGATTGATCTTTCCGTCGCACTTCACGCAATAAGTCCCAAATGTGGCCAAACATACGGCTTCGTCCTAAAATATAAAGCATAGTATCGAGGGAAAACGCAGAGTGAAAAAACCCTCGTCTATTGCCAGTATACCAGAAAAATTCCAAAGCTTGCAAGGGGTTGGAATGACTAAATCTGACCCTTTTCAAAACTGCATCGACTAAATCATTGGAGAGGAAAACTCCACTTGATTTCAAAGATTGCTTGAGGTCTTCAGGAGATGAAGAGGAAGTGATAATACGCAATACTGATTCAACATCATGGTGCAAATTGCGGTTCGCGGAGCAAAAGCGAGCAATTGAGACACAAAGGTAGTACCTGGATAGCGATGCAAATGAGAGAGACCTCAGCAACATCCGTGAGGTTGAGATTGGTTCACTTGGAAATTGGAATCGATTCCAGGGTAACTCCAGGTAATCACACTAACCGACCATCCAGAGGCATTGCATATTGATTATGCCTTTCTTAATTTATTTTTGTCACATTCAAAAACCTTTAAAATAATATCAGAAATAAAATTATTCATTCAATCTCGCTGAATGAACAGGGAGAGCATTCCATCGGTATTTAATCACACCTTCGAGAACCTACAAGGCAAAGAACTTCTAGTATTCAGATTTTGAGCGTTTTGTAAAATATGCATGACTTAAAGCCAAGTGCCGGCATTATTTTGCAAGTCTTGCAAAATCTGCTCAGCAGCATTTCTCCGGCGACCTGATGGCGTGGTGACGGAGACGAAGCCAGAGGAGGCGGAGTTGAGGAGTCACGAATCAGAGATGCGACAGAGGTAGAGCTGTCGAAGTCGAACGACGAGCTTTATGGAGTTAGGGTTTGAGGATTTTAGGTCAGCGAGGCACAAAAATCTCTGTGCTAGTGTGATTATCGCATAGATGGGATAATTCGTAGGTGCCTTTGTAAACATTCTTCTTTCAAGCTGCCAACTGCCAAGCTTGTTTTCGGCTTTAGTGAGGAGTGAGCCCATGCTTGGCCGTTCCACAGAAAAGAAAAAGGTCACATTACTAGGAAACCTTATTATTATTATTTTCTAAAAGAAGTCTTCAGCATTTAAAAAGTATTAGAGCCCGTTTGTTTTCGTTTTTTTTTTATTCTCAAAATAATTTTATAAAATTTTTTTTAAGAACAAGTTTTGGAAACAAAAAACAAAAATATTTATTTGGAAAATAATTTTTAAAAATCACATTTGAAAAAAAATATAAAAAATCACTTTTTGACAAGTGATAGTTATCACCGGTAGTGATAAGTAATAGGTAATAGAGGAGAAGAGAAGAAGATTTCTTTAATTTAAAAAAAAAACACAAACAAAAACAAGAAAACATGTAAAGGTTGTTTTGGTTTTTCAGTTTTTAAAAACATATTTTTGTTTTTTTTGTTTTTTAAAACTATCAACTAAAAACAAATTGCTAAACAATTTTTTTTTTTTTTGCTTTTAAAAATAAGAAATTGTTTTCAAAACAAGAAACCAAATAGGCCCTTAACTACTAAGTGATGTAATTTGAGAAAATCACAAATAAAGACTCCTGAATTATCAAAATTACGCAGAATTTACCTAAATAAGCAAAATTACCATGAGGGATCTAGTCTCATATTGTAAATATAAAATCTTGAAAAAATGTCTGAAATGCCCCTCAGCTAAATGACAAGTTGACTATAAGAAATGACAAGTTCACTTTAGCGAATAATAACTTTAGTCAATCAAATCACAACTTGGTTGAAAGTATGATTAAATGACAAGTTGATTGTGGAAAATAACAAATTTACTTTAATGAATGAAAACTTCACTAGACCAAATCACAATTTGGTTGAGAGGCATTTCAGACATTTTGCCAATATTTCATATTTGCAATATGGGATTGAGTCAGTCATAGTAATTTTGCTTATTCAGGTGACCTTTGTGTAATTTTGATAATTCGGGGGTCTTTATTTGTTATTTTCCCATGTAATTTTTCCCCTAAATTAATAAAAAAAATGGATTTGCTACGCCCTGCTGTTTTATTAGTTAAGAGACAAAATTACACCATTTAATACTTTAAGGTGTTAAAGACTCTTCAAAAGAGAGTTTAGAATAATATTGAGTATTCCTTAATCTTAAATTAACTGCATATCTACACGTGAAGTGTTTTTTAATAGATATAAAACAATTTTTTGGTGTATTTAACATTTAAAATATTTTTACACTGGCACTTAGTATCATTAGTTTAAAATGCTCATTATTATTGAAAAAAACATTTTAAGGGCAAAATAGTATTAAAAATTAATTTAAGATACTAAATACTGAAAAAATACTGGTATTGAATGCACAAAATTTAGTTTACTATGTTAAATGTTATTAACAAAATATTTCAAGGTGTTAGTTTCAGAGAAAATGACATTAGCTTTTGCAAAAGCATCGTTTTTACTTGCTTTAGAGAGATAAAGGTTTGAGGAACAAAACTGAATTTAACAAAAGCAATTAAATAAGCATTCAATGAAAACTACCCAAACTTTTATCCAAGCATAAAAAATGAAGGAAATGATCTAAGCTACTCTGCTACTGAGATCAATCTAATGTCCACACCTTGCTGGCAAGTTACACGTCTTTACCTGTGAGAATTTCTCAGGAGAAAAACACTTAACAAATGATGGGGGTCAAAATGCACTTTTTCTAATAATTTAAACTCGCGCGTTTTGTAAATCCTCTCTAGAAGAGATGCTCACGTTTAGCTACCTCAAATAAGATTGTCTCTAATAAAAAAATACATATGCATAGTAAAGAAAAATTCAGGAACTTTAGAGCTTCACAAAACGCAATGCTTTGTTTCCTGTGATACAAAGTGCAATGCAATATTTCATTTGTTGATACAGTTTAGTGTCAAGTTCAGGTAATACCATTCCAAGGAGATTATTGATTTACCCTATTGCTGTTGCGTGTCCCTCTTTATTTTCTTTTAAATATAAGAACCGTTTTCATTATAAACATAGAACGGGCATTCAACATATTAGCATACAAAGGAGGATAAACAACACACAATAAAGAAGAGAGAGAAGGTAATGAGATGACGTCATCATACATACACAAGAAGGTGTATTGATGAAGAGTTGTGCGTGAGCGTGAACAACTGTTACCATTCCGTCCCTCCACACTTTCGATTCCACACAAGAATCCAATCTTTAGTTTGAGAAGTAAATTCATAAGAAATCACTTAACTAAATCATGGGCGAATGCCACCTGCTTACCTTCTAAGCAGATACTGAATGAGTAAGTATTTCCCTTCCTTTTTCTGGGTGATTAAATCTATTACTTGTTCACAGTATAAAGGAAGGACAATACAATCTAGGTGCAATTGGCAAGTTCAGAAAGTGCAGAATGTTAAAGACAGGGTAATTACTATACTACAACTGAAAAAAAGAATAATAATAACAATGCTAAAACAGGAATTGTCATTTTCCAAGCTAACGCCGTCTATAAGATCCAGTATTACATTATGCAATATCCATTTTTGTCTAGGGGCTTCATAACAGTTGAAGACAGCATCCTCATAAAAAATACCAATAAAAAGGGATTTCTGGAGCTAGTGTGGGGGACAATGTACATCTACTCGCTTACAGATGCCCTTAGGCAAGTATCTTTATTACAGTCATGCTAAGCTACAGAAAAACAATTATCATTATTGCTTAACCTTGAGACTGGATTCTATCCGTTCAATCAGCTGATCTGCAGTCAATGCTCCCTCCTGAAAATCATCAAACTCTGGTTATACATTCTCTGATTCTCATTGTTCAACTCAATTTGAAGTTTGCCAGTCTGCTGGGGGGCAGATTGAGTTAAAGAGCTTAGATGCTTCTTTGATTTTACTTCACAACAAAATCGCGTAGCCACTAAACAAGGCACATGATGCAGCATCACAAGAGGCACTTTCTATGTAAATAACAGAGGAAACACAAGAAAACAGGAACTAATTTGACAGTCGATAAATTTTGACGGGCAATTTAAATTAATTTGGTCAGAAAGTCTGATAATCCTAGTGATATAAAGGAGCACTGTTGGAGGGTATTAAACTTCAATTCAAGTGGCCCATATCCCGTTTTAATCAACACTTAGAGATCATACGTTTTTGCCGTATGTATTATGTTGTCCCATGTAGAGCAAGTTGGTGCACTTCCAAAACTGCCAGGAAGTGTTTATCCTATTTTCAGTTTACACCTACAAATTGAAACAAAATAAGAAACAAATTCTTTATCTAACCCACCTTATCTCCCTACTCACATAAATCACTGCCAGCCATTTGTGATATTTGAATATCACCGCCAGCCATTTGTAGAGCAAGTTGGTGTCACAAATTTCATCAGTGAAATATAATTCTCAAAAGGAATAGGGAATCTGAACATATGTGATATTTGAATATTTTAGATTCTCTGATAGGAGGGTAAATCAAGTTGAAGCTCTCCTTCATTGTTGTTAGTCTTTTAGCAATCATAAAGGCATCGATCATTTACAGTTAAATAATCATTCAAAATAAAAATCATCTTTTATGCCACCAATAAATTTAAATTTAAAAGGACACTTTATAAATGCAACTTGAACTTTTCAATAAAATTAGAGAGGTCCTAAGCATAGGATACCCCAGAAAAATTCATACAGATATATACTTCATGATGCATGTGAAGCTCTAATTTGAAGTTCGAAACTACACGTAAGAAAATGCCAGGAGTCTAGGGCAAAAGCTTCAGATGAGGCTTCCACACACTTTAAAATGCTGAAGAGACAGTTAACCACAAAGGGGCGCCTGGGGAGAGAAGAATTCAGATGAAACAGATAGAATCCAACTTACAAAGCGATCAAGGGGTTTTCCGTCCTTAAAGACTATGAAAGTAGGCAATGCCTCAATTCTGTATTTGTCAGCAATGCTAGGATACTTTTCAGTGTCAACCTTTGCTACAAGTATGACATCTCTAAGCCGAGTGCTTACTTCGCTAAGTACGGGTGCCATGAATTGACAAGGACCACACCTGGAAACAATGCCGTTATTTAAACACTTTTGAATTAAATTTTGAGATATAGAAAGTTATGATTTGCACCAAATACGAATAATATAAGTTAACATCCGCTTTACCACAAGAGAGACAACAAGAGAATAATTTACCAGGTTGCATAAAAGTCAACCAATACAGGTTTTTCAGAATTAGCAAGCATGTCATCAAATGAGGAAAAAGTTTGCTTCTTTGCCTCCACCTGCAACAAAAGTTTTTCAAAATTGAATGTCAGCTCTTCATTGACAATAAAAGCTGAGATTAAGCCAGCCACTGCAGACCCATGAAAACACAAAGAAAATCAGAACAGCTATCAGCATAAACACAGATTCATGGCATGACACAATCAACCTCAAAACCAAACATTTAACACTTCCACACATCCCAAATCAATTGTATATTACATCAAATAGAAAGCATCAATCTGAATTAGTTCACGGTTGATGTACCATGTACATACCAGATATGAGCCAGAATAGAAGGAATTATAAGCATTAGAAAGAGGTGAACAATAGATTGAATCCTGCTGAAAGTTATAAATGAAAAACCAATATGCTCCCATTTCTTAGTACCAATGAATTGAGTTATGAAGGGTCAAGTTTTAATAATCT